TTGTTAAATAATAATATGTAAATATTTTCCACACTGTCTTCTTTTGTGCTTTCCAAACACTGACATGTGTTTGGTTTAGACAGTGTAATATATGACACATTAATATTCAGAAACATTATTTCAACAACCCATTAAATGAAATCTGATATCAACTGAATAAAAGTGTGTATTATTTAAGTCACTGCTTCTTTGTCATTATAAAAGAAAGTAAGACGATGTTAATGAGAGTTTATTTAAATAAAGGCTGCAGCACAGACATCATGCATTCATTAATAGTTAATTCCAGAGGGTGGAGAGAAGAATCAGTGGTCAAGAATACTTGCTGTTCTTCCAGAGGACCTGGGCTCTATTCCCAGAACCCATATATTGCCTAACAACCATCTGTAACTTCAGTTCCAGGGGATCTGACACCCTCTTCAGGCCTCTGCTAACATTGTATGCATGTGGTACATTTGCATACATGCAGCCAAAACATTCACACACATAAAATAAGAATAATATATAAAATTTAAAAAATATTTCCATCATCAGGCACGGTTGCCCACATGATTAATCCCCACACTCTGTAAGCAGAGGCAGGTAGATCTTTGTGAGATTGAGACCAGTCTGTCTTTCATAGCAACTTCCAGGCTAGCTGTGGCCACAGGAAGACCCTGTCTCAAAAAGACTAAAAACAGGAAGAAGAGAAGGAAGGAAGGGAGGGAGGGGGGAGAGAGGGAGGCAGGGCATTGGAGGAGAGAAGAAAAGAAAAGAAAAGAAAATTCCATGAATAACTAAATTTTATATGAAAGATAATGTGAGTGGTTTGAGACCAGCTGGACTTTTTATATAGACGTCCAGAATTTATGTGAACTTTGAGAACTGTACTAATATTCATACATAGTAAAATCTGTTAAAATTAGTCTATGACTTCCATTTTTCATGGCATGATATTTAGTTTTTATGAGAAAACATGCTTAATTTTTATTTGAACTTTTGTATTTTCTATGGTCTTTTAATAATGATAATAAATAGAGACAGAGTTAGCCAATCTGATAACATTCTGGAATATAATCAAGAAATAATATTTTCATCTCTATTTCATCATGATTCTTGAAATACAATGCAGAATGATTCAGTGGACTATTCAAACTTACCAATCTTAACAATTTAGTAATGACTCATATGAAGTGCTTTTGAGGAGCAGCTCAGTTGGTAGAGGGCTTGCCTAATGTGCATGAAGCTATGGGTTCTATACTTAGTAACATATATACTGAGCATAGTGACACATGCCTGCCATCTCAGATGGATCTGAAGTTCAAAGTCATTCTAGCTATAGCAGTCAAGGTCAGGCTGTAATACATGAGACCTTGTCTCAAAAATTAAAATGTTTGGGGGCCTAGAGAGATGACTCAGAACTTAAGAACACTGACTACTCTTCCAGAGGACACAGGCTGTGATACATGAGACCTTATCTCAAAAATTAAAATGTTTAGGGGGCTGGAGAGAGATGGTTCAGCATTTAAAAGAACTGATTTCTCTTCCAGAGGACCTGGGTTTACTTCCCAGAACACACGTAGCTATTGGTAACTCCACCAGCAGGGACTTTGAGACCCTCTTCTGTCCTCTGTAGACAGTGCATGACATGGGTGCAGTTACATACATGCAATCAAAACACTCATAATCATAAAATAAAAAATAAACACAACAATTTTAATTTTCAATATGGTGCAAGGTCCTTGTCATACACACAGTGTCTATTTCAGAGCTTCTTTCGAAAGCAACTCATGTGCCCACAAAAGGGGCCTGAGATGCAAACAAACTCACTGCTCCTGGCAGGAAGGGTCCAGTAGCCCCATTAATTGCTCATATTTCAGAGATGTGTATACTTAATCTTGGTAAAATTTATATACAGCAATATGAAATCATTTACTTCCTTGAAATTGAGGAATAGCTTCACGTTTCATAATGTTGCTCTTGAGTGAGGTAAGGAAGGCCCAGAAACAAACATCACATACTCTCTTTCATATGTGGAAACTACTTTAAAATCTCTAGATATGTGTTTTTCAGCTTCAAAATCCACAGAATTCAGGAAACTGATCAGGTGCTATAGCGGGCACTTCCAGAGAGGAGAGACAGGATGCAGTGATATAAATGGGGAGAGGGAAACAATGGGATAGAAAGGGTTAAATGGGGTGGGAAATGGGAAGACAGGCCATAGCAAAGGAGGAAGTATGTAGAGGAACAGCTAACACTGAAGGCCTTTTGAAAAAGTCAGATGAGGGCTAGAGAGATCACCCAGTGTTTCAGAGCACTGGCAACCTTAGTAGAGGACCAAAGTTCAGTTCTTAGCACCCACATGCCATCAAACAACGATCCATAACTCCAATTCCAGGGAATCCGCCACTCACTTGTGACCTCCATTGGCACTACATGACATGGGTACACTTACATACATGCAGTCAATACACTAATGCACGTAAAATTAAAAAAATTATACATAAAATTTAAAAAGGAATAAATCAGAAGGAAATATGGTGTGATAGGAGCTTCATAAACACATACACGTACATATATATATATATATAGAGAGAGAGAGAGAGAGAGAGAGGAACAGAGTTTAAATGGAGTTACCCTACAACAGCAGGCCAAGGTCCCTATCAGTCACAGTACTTATCAAATAAAAGATCCAATATCAGGAATAGGTTCCTCTTTTAAAGGTTACATAGTCACTCACACAGTCATGGTTTTTGCCATTTCTCTCAGTTACTCCACAGAACTTGACCATAAGATCATATTGCTAAAGTCATCACATATAAAAGTCATTGAAAAAACAGAGAAATTAAGCTGGTACTGACCTGGAAGCTTCATCTCTACTGGATAAAGCTGGAAAAGGCTACGCATGTTGCTGCAAGAGAAAAAGTCATCATTAAACTTACCCAGCTGTGAACTGTGAAAACTACAATAATGACAGGCCTGAAAAAGCATGCCCATTTGTGTGATAGTTAAGAGAGTAATTTATCAGTTTCTTGTTGGACTTAACACCCACTTCGCAAGATGGAGTTCATTCATGGCACTTTTTTCAGAATAAAGAACCTGTGATTAGAAGGGTCACAGGTAATAGAGAAGAATCTGCTACAATTATCCTGCTTAAACAGAAGTAGTATTCAAGTGACTCCTAATGACTTATTGCTATGCCCATTGATTGTGCAATTATCAACTATAACTGCAGAAGTGACTTCATGCAGCAAATAGCAATTAACTGGGTAACCCACAGAAAATGAAGAATTTCAGAGTGCTCAGCCCTAAATTGGACACATATATCACACCCTCCCCACTCAAAGATCATTGTGGAAGAGGGGGTGAAAAGAGTGTATGAGCCAGAGGTAGCAGATGAATATAAGAAAACTGTGTTTTCTAGAAACAACAGGGCAGTCACACATATGAACCAACATGCCTTTGACGGTCTGCACAAAATTTGCCAGACAAAAAGCCAGCATGGGAACTATTGGTACATGGTAGTAGCTAGAAGAGGAGTCAGTTTTGATTAAGGATGATGCATCGCATAGGTTGACGAAGCTTCAAGAAACGGAGCCATGCTCAAGAGGACTTGGGGAACATATGCAAATTAGACTAGATAGGCCTTAAAAAACAAACAGAGAAAATGAAGTTAAGGGAAATAGTGTGGATAGGTGGGGATGGATTTGAAAAGAGTTGAAGTATAGGATCTGAATACTATCAAATCACAATGCATCATATTCTCCACAATCAAGAATAATATTGCTTAAAGTGACTTAGTATACCAA